ACATCAGCGGAATCTCAGAGGATGATGTGTGATGTCTTCATAGCCAGGGTGGTGATTTCCAAGTAAAGTAGGGATGGTTTTTGAGAACTAAAAAATGTCCTGCTGTGATCTCTTTTCTTTCTATCCTGCACCAAAACAAACAAACAATAAACCACTACCTACATTTGTGAGACTCCAGAAAGAACTGTTGGCCTGGCAAAGATCAGTGACTGATGGGTGATAGCTGTAGGAAGTGCTGTGATAAGGTTTATGAAGCTGTAGCCTGGATCAATGGAAGAGTATATTGTGATTGATCAGGAATGTCTGCAGTGGAAGGTGGCAACAGCAGGGTGGTACACAAGCCATGGTGCTGTCCTCCCTGGTCTATTTTAATGTCTTCTCTTTATAGGTATGAAAAATAAGGTTTACAGCAATGAGGTATCATGGCTTATCCATCCATGAGTACAGAGTATGGCAAAACTGAAACTAGCAACCATTCCTTATGGTTTGTAGCTCAGCAATCCTCTCTCCATGCCAGGCTGCCTTTCTTCTCTGGTGGGTGAGATGGTTTCCTTCTTATAACCACTAGGTGGTCCTGGCATGTTACAACCTATTCAGAGATCACTTCTATCATGAAAAAATTATGCCAAGATAATTTTAAAAAACCACCAGTCCCAGTTTTGTGTTAAGGCTCTGGCAACAGCCAGCACACAGCTGTTGCGAGGATGCATATTCTCTTTTGACAAAAGACAGGTGGCTGGTTGTGTCATGTTGGTCTGAGATAACATCATGTGCAGAAAGAGAGACAAGCAGGGAAGGAGAGATTTCTTTCCCAGACTCTCACATAAATGGATTTCTTCTTTGCCTAATGGAGCTCTAAATAAATAAAATACAAAACAAATGTTTACAATATTGTTGAGACACTGAGTTGCTGAGAGGTAGCTGTAGAGTTTTATTCTAATTTGTATCCTCTCCAGGAAAATGGAATTCAACACGAACTTTATAATGGTAGGAGGAAGAAGGTATCATCATTTATTCCTTCATATGTTCACCCGATATTTGCCAAGTGCCAGGCAGTGCAAAGTACTAGGGATACAACAGTGATCGGAAGATGAATAGTTTCTGTCCTCACATGAAGTCTACTGGGAAAGATGGACTATTAACAAGCATTGTAATAAGTGTGTACATACAAAGAAGAAGATAGTATTGAGGGAGCAACCGGGCAGAGGTGAAGGATCAACAGGATTGGCATGCTTAAGTAGAAAGGGCATGTGATTTGGAGCTGGACAAAAGTGAAATCGTTTCTTGCCACTTACCAAGTGGGTGACCTTGAGCAAGTCATCTATATTTTCTACCCTAATTTCCTTACCTATGAAACAAAGCTAATAATTTCTACCCTGTCAGGATTATGTTAGGTATTGAGTTAAAGTTTATTAAGTTCCCAGGGAAGTCTGTCACAGAGTATGAGTTCAACACATATTTGTCAAGTGAATGAAAGAATCATCATGAAATACACATTGGATCTCTAATAGAAAAAGGGACACTTGGACAGAGACTGATGAAACAGAGAGAAACTAGACATTAGTCTTGTCTTATACCTATTTACAGACTGAGAATATATAGCAAATAGCAAATTCATAAAGAAGCACATTTCATGTAGCTAGGTCAGGGAGTACTCTACATCAGAACTATCTAACAGAAACACAACATGGGTCACAAATGAGAGGCACATGTGTAATTTTCAAATTTCCGCAGCCACATTAAGAAAAGTAAAAAAGAAAAATAGAATAAGTTTAGTAATATATTTAACCCAACATAGCCAAAACATTATTATTTTACATATAGCCAATGTAAGTTTATTGATACAATATTTTGCATTCTATTTTTTCTACTAAGACTTCAAAATCCAGTGTGTGCTTTATATTTACACTACATCTCAATTTGGCCTTGCCATGTTTCAGATGCTCAGTTGCCATGTGTGGCTAATGGCTTCCATACTGGACAACACAATTCCAGAAGTGTGGGGATGGGAGAGTTTATTGAAGACACAGACAGTCAGGTGGGCTTAGGGAAGAGGTGAAGAGATGGGCTTGAGTAGATGGGCATTAAAAGACCTGATTTGGTGTTTTTGCAAGCTGTATCTATGTACAGTGTCTTGTGTTGCAGCACCTTATAGAAGCCTCCTTCATCTGGCTGGCTCTGTCTCAGGGACCTTCTGAATCTACTCCTGGTGCAGGGGTCATACTCTTGCATTTGGTCCTTACTCTCTGATGGCACCTTCAGACTCTCAGATTGTCCTTTGCTCTCTGGTACCCTCTGACTTGGCACTGTGCATAGCGCCTGGTACCTGGAAACCACATGTATGTAAAAGCAGATTCCTTGGCTGCATAATACAGTTCTAAGTAAATAAAATACAAAGTGATGCCTGGAGCTAGCCAAACTCTGGCTCTCAAAGCCACTAGGACTATCAGAGTTGTCCTCTAGCCTAGGGAGACACACAGAGAGTGTCAAGTTTGAAAAATCCCAGGAATATTACCTGTAGAAGACCAGTCTCATCATGGATTCCCAGTGGGGGAGAGATGGGCATGTGACCTGGCTGGGGGCATGGCATTTGGCAGAGAGGAACTGGAAAAAGGAGGAGATGATGACCTGACCCTTTAAGAGCAGGTCCTGGCCAAGTGCATTCTCTAAGGTGAAATGCGGAAAGGCAATCCATGTGGCCAAGAAAAGTGCAGTGATGTGTACCAGAAAGAAATTCAGATGACAGATGAAGGATGAGTGAGAAAAATGGATGTGAAAGGAGGGAGGCAGAAGCCTAGAAAACAAGAGTCCCCACAAGACCTTGGTATCTCCTCACCTAAGCAAGCATTGATGTGTCCCCCACACTAGGACCCAAGCGGGATCGCAGTGGTGGGCTGGACCCAGGTCTGCCTCCTCCTCAGGCCCATACCATCCCACAGCCCAGGGCAATCAAATAAATAAGAGAAGTAGATTGGATGAGGAGGCAGAACACATGCTCCTGCTGTATCCCCAGTGATAACAGTAGCAATGAAGAAGGAGGAATTTGAGTGAGCTTTAATCTCCGTTCAATAGTATCATCATAGGAACTCCTGTCCCGTGTGTAGAAGGAGATACTCCCTGACTCTACCCAACTAACAGCAAGTAGGAATGTGACCCCAAGTGTGGCTAGGTATTTTAGTTTCTCTGAAGTTTTAACTATGGATTTTATGTGACACTTTCCAATTTTTTAATGTTTTTAACTATGTTAATAAATTTTTAAACATTGTGCTGGCTCCTACTATGTGAGCCAAAGAAAATAAACCACAGGGCTGGCAGCTTGAGACTTCTACTCTAGGTTCAGGTTCCTGTTCCACACATCACCTGGCCATTTGTAGCTTCTCACTTCCATTTTGTTCTGAGGCTTAAATCAGAACGACTTGACATCAGTTCTATGTCGCTTTGAGGCTTAATTCAGATGATGCACATCAAGGGCTTAGCTTAGTTTCTGGCACATAGTGAAGGCAGTTAATAACTGGTGCCTAGTATCTGTAAAGAACTTCTGAGATTTATTTGCAACTATCATATAGGGATTGAATCACAGGATGCCCCCAGAGACAAAACATCTGAAACAGGGCTCCTCTCCCTCATATGATATGATTCCCTACCTCTTCATTTCCATTTCACAGCTAAGATTTATGACACTTTCATTTTACTTTGTCAATTCATGAAACTCAAAGTCATTGCACAAAGGAAGTGAGAAAAACAAAAAACAAACAAACAAAACAACAACCAAAAAAACGCCACCCGAGGTAGAAGTGTAAGTTGATATACGTTTTCTAGAAAGTAGTTTGATCATGCTCAGCAAAAGACTAAAAAGAATTCATATGCCTTTTGACTCAGCTATTCCATTTCAAGGAATTTAGCCTAAGGGAAAAATGATGGTTTTTCATAAAGGCTTAGTACCAAAAATGTTTATAACAGTGTAGTCTATAATAGAAACAATTAAGGAAATTAAATGCCCGTAAAGAAGAGATTGGTTGCAAAAGTTATGCTACACTAGAAAGCTGATTTTTCTCCATCACAGCCCCCTCATTACTTTCAGAGCACTTATTATGTTAATCGTGTCTCCTGCAGTAAACTCCAGGAAAGCAGGGTCCTTGTCTGTCCTGTTCACCATTGTATACACCATTGTTTATGAGCTGGCACACAACAGACACAAATGAATATTTAAATACATACAAGACAGTTTATGTAGTATGATTCCATTTTTGTAAAAAAAAAAAAAAAAGTATATGTCTGTACGTTATTACTGCTTTCCCCTAGATGGGGTCAGCAAACTAGACCCTGGACTCACTAAATAAAGTTTTATTGGAACACAGCCACACTCTTTCTTTTACATGTTGTCTATGGCTGCTTTTGTACTAAAATGGCACAGCTGAGTAGCTGCAACACAGTTTGTGTTGCCCACAAAGCTAAAAATATTCACTATGTGGCCCTGTAGAGAAAAAGTTTGCAGACTCCTGCTTTAAATGGTAGAAGTTTCTTTTGTGTAGTCTAATTCACACAAACACACACACACGTGTATGTGTGTGTGTGTGTATTTAACAATGAACATGTGTTACTTTTGTAACCATGAAAAGTTAAAGTTGTTTTTGCAAAAGAAAGACAGGAATGAAGGAACAAAGAAAAAAGAAAAGAAAGGAGGGAATTATTTATTCATGTTTACCAGTATAGAAAAATGTCCACAGCAAGCAAAATTTTAAGTATGGTATGAACAGGATGGTTGTATTTTTGTAATGTCTGGATAAAGAACTGAAAGGAAAAAACGGTTAGCATGGCTGTATCTGGGTAAGGGAACTATAAATGGCTTTTATTTCCTTCTTTGTTCTTAGTTGTATTTTCTCAATTTTCCAGAATAAACATGCTTTACTTTTGTAATAAGAAAAAGAGAAAATAAGTTATATTGAAGATAGAGAAAATAAAACAAAGTATTCTCTATCTAAAAAGCAACAGTGTTAACTCCGCTGCCGCCATGGCACCTGTGAAAAAGCTTGTGGCGAATGGGGGCAAAAAAAAGAAGCAGGTTCTGAAGTTCACTCTTGATTGCACCCACCCTGTAGAAGATGGAATCATGGATGCTGCCAATTTTGAGCAGTTTTTGCAAGAAAGGATCAAAGTGAACGGAAAAGCTGGGAACCTTGGTGGAGGGGTGGTGACCATCGAAAGGAGCAAGAGCAAGATCACCGTGACATCTGAGGTGCCTTTCTCCAAAAGGTATTTGAAATATCTCACCAAAAAATATCTGAAGAAGAATAATCTACGTGACTGGTTGCACGTAGTTGCTAACAGCAAAGAGAGTTACGAATTACGTTACTTCCAGATTAACCAGGACGAAGAAGAGGAGGAAGATGAGGATTAAATTTCATTTATCCAGAATATTTTGTATGAGTTCTTGAATAAAACTTGGGAACCAAAAAAGGAAAAAAAAAAAAAAAAAGCAACAATGTTTCTACCAGGCTTTGAACATCTACTTGGGGTCCTGGGAGTGTGTCCCTTTGGGCACACTGCTTGTCATTACTGCCCTCCACTAAAATGGTAACATGGCCAAGGTTGAAGTGTTAAAATCTTGTGCCACTTTTTTTCACGTAAATTATTTATGTTGTCCTCCAAACAGAATGGATGTTTTTCTTTATAATAAAAAGATTTTAAAAGTCCACTGAATTCTTTCTGAAGCACAGTTTACCATTTCTATCTTGACTAGAAAGTGTATTTAGAAAAGAAGTTTTCTGGCTTAGTAGCCGACCCTTGTCCCCACAATCACATTTCCCTAATTTCAGCCTTAGCTGAGGTTGACAGTTCTAGCAATATGGACGACTCCCACCGCATTATTCCACCATTTGTCTCTTTGCTTTTAGGAGGAGGTAACACCCGCCAGGGGCAGCCCTCAACAATGGGGAGCAGTGGATAAATGCCCCAGCCTCTGGGCTGCAGACTTGGCAGACAGGAGCCCCTGTTGCCCATAGAAGCCATCTTTCTTGGCTTTTCTCCATCTCTTGTTCACTCTCTCCACTTCTTTCTCCTGCTTCCTGGGAATCTCCTCTCCCAAAATAGCTTCCTGCACCCAAGATACTGTCTCAGGTTCTGCTTTGGAGGAACTCACACTAAAAGAGTTTGTAAGCAAATGGCAAATTAATAACAAAAATTACACCACAGAGCCCAGAAAGCTCTCATAGATGGAGTCAAATAGAGCTCATTAGCTTCTAGGATACATGTGCTCATTACATGACTATTGATTAGATTTTTACATTGGGCCATGTGGGCTGGGTATACTATGGTGAACTAGATAGACACAGTCTATGCTCACAGAGCATGAGGCATTAAACAATGATTATGCAAATTATACTAATAGAAAGGACAGGAAAGATGGGAAAATACAGGAAAAACTAGTCTAGTCTGAGATTTAACATGGGTTTCTGAGAACACAACATTTAAACTGAGCCTTAAAGTAGGGGTTAGCCAAAAAGTAGGGAAGAGCTACAGTGTGTCCTCAGCATACAAAGACTGAACATGGAACATGACATTTGATGGGCTAATTAACCATGTTACAGGATTTGAAGATTTCAAAAAATATATAGCCAGTCAAATTTTCCCCTTTCATCTGACATGGTTAAATATCCCATGAGCAGAACAAGTATTTGGATATCTTCAGGGTATTAATTACTGAGAGGACCAAAGTTGGCCATTAAGATTCAAACATAGTTTGGAAAAACACGCTTGTAATCAGAGCCAGGGTACTTGGTAGATTCTACTCTTATTACCTAGGGAGAATGTGGGTCTTCCATGAGGTGGCAAGAAAAAAAAAAACAGTCTAACCTTGAAGCTGATGGGCTGGTTTAAAAAAAAAGGAGTCTAATTTGCTCCAAAGACCCACTGCTTCCGATTCACAAAGATGTCATTTAAAACTGGTTTGAAGAACACCTGCCTGCTGATTCATTCTGAAATGGGGAATCAACTCAGAAGAATCTGATCCTTACAAACCTCTAGGGCACACACACTTCCTGAGACTCTGAATGTGCTTAACTTCCTGCTAAACACACAGTGCTTTATGTGCTAACAAAACGCAATAAATACACCATTGGTACTTCTATGTTTATGATCCACTGCCTTTTTTCTTGCAGCGATCTTGTAAGAATTTCACTTCATATTTTTATTATTCTCACTGCATACTAATACTTCAAACATTTCAGTAAATTATGGTTCTCTGGTTCCTACTTCAGAATCATTTAACTGATTTAATGAGCTCTGTCTAATTATTGCATTTCACCTTTCTTATTAAAGTGCAGCAGTGTTTTGGCTGAAATAGCTGGTAATAGCTCAAATACTCAGAAAGGAAAAAAAATGAGGATGGATAATGCAGGAATCACTACAGCCCATTTTACGCTAGACATAATTTTTAAGAATATATAGATATATGTATACCTTAATCCACTCATACATTCATTACGTATTTATAAAATGCCTGTATGTGCTATGCATTTGTGAAAGATACCAGAACAGCTTTAATGGTGCTTTCTTAGATTGGCATCCTTTTATCAGGGGCACAAAACACACTGATTAAAAACTCTGGAGTCAGACTGCATATATTGAAATCTTGGCTTCACCATTAGCCATGTGACCTTGGGCAAAACAATGAGCCAATCCGTGCCTCAGTTTTCCCATCTGCAAAATGATAGTTAAAGTATTATTAGCATCTACCTCCACAGGAATGTTGCGGGCATTAAATTAGTCAGTACATACATAACATGTCAAAAGACTACCAGGGGCATAACAGGCACTTGGTAATTGTTACCTCTTTTGTGTTCCCTATTGAATTGTGCTGGTCTATAACAAACTCACAGCAACTGTAGGTGTCTCTATCTACTTATCTATTTAATTAGTTATTCATTATTTATTTTTATTTATTGTTTACCTCCATCAAATTATAGGATACATGAACAGAGAGACTAAATGCCCAGTGCCCGGCATTGTGCTTGGTTATAGTAAGGCACTAGTAAATGTTTGTTGAATGAATGAACCAAGGAATAAATGATTCTCTGTCAGCATGCATGACCCCTCTCATTCCCCACAGCCTTTCGCTTCAGAGATTTCCATCACACATGTCTATCATACGCCATTTGTTGGAAATTCCACATGGTTTTATACCCAGATGGTGCCCGTGACAAAGGGAAGGCGTTCTGGCATGTGTGAAAGTTACGATGCCAGATGACAAGCCAATTCACTGTATTATTCATCATCAAATGTTGTTGGCCAGAGAACCGACTGCTGTCTGCTGAGCTCCACAATGGTCAAGTGAAGAGGCTGATTTTTAACGGAAGGTAGTAGCATCTTTAGAGAGACAGGGTGATGTGGTAGGAAGATGAGGTTTAAAAAGTGAGATGTTCCTCAGTCTTGTCTTGGCTTAGCAAGGTTGGGCAAGTCACTTCACTCTTTGGGGCTCTCGGATTACTGTATTTGTAAATGGAGGACACAAACTGTCATCAGTAATTCCCAAAACTGGTTGCACACCAGAATCTTCTGGAAAGCTTTTTAAAATACAGTTTCTTTTTGGCTAGCAGCAGGCACATTTTTAATATAAAGGGTCAGATATTCTAGGTTTTGCAGGCCATATGATCTCTGTCACAACTACTCAGACTTGACTCTGCCATTATGTAACCAAAGCAACCACAGACAATATGGAAACAAATGGGTGTGTCTGGATTTGACCAGGTTGCCCACAGGACACAGCTTCCCGAGCCCTCCTCTAGGCCATCTGTGGCCTCCCAGCGTAAGGGCCAGTTCTCTGCAGATTTACAAAAGCTCCTCTAAGTGACGTCAGCAGCAGAGATGTTTGTGAACCACCAGATACATGATCTATAGGGCTCCTTCCAGCTCTAATTGGAGCTGAGATTCTACATTTCTTATTTTCACCATGAGAAATGGCTATTCTTGGTCAACACTATCTAAACAATGATTCTCATATTCTTTCAAATGCATCACATTTGGATATTAGCTTTCTACATCGGAAGTTTCTGGTCTCTCAAAATTCAATTTGCTACTCTACCAGGAAAAGTTTGACTAGTTCCTTCCATTGTGTTTCGATCTAAAGCACCTCTCTGTGTGTGTGATATCCCCTGCCAGTTCTTTGTAAGTGACGTTTTCATTAAGTTGCAAACTAGAGGTTTAATATTATCTCTTTAAGGCAATAGAGCACACAGTACACACCTCCACTTTAAGAAACAATGACACATAAAAATGTGAAATTGGTGAGGCCTGGTGGCTCAGGCCTATAATCCCAGCACTTTGGAAGGCCGAGGTGGGAGGATTGCTTGAAGCCGGGAGTTCGAGACCATCCTGGGAAACATAGTGAGACCCCCATCTCTAAAATCAATAAATCAATAAATAAAAGTAACCAGGCTGGGCAACACAGTGAGACCTCCGTCTCTAAAATAATAAAAATTATCCAGGCACACACCTATAGTCCCACCCACTCGAGCAGCTGAGGTGGGAGAATCACTTGAGCCCAGGAGTTTGAGGCCATGGTGAGCTATGGTTACACCACTGCACGCCGCCCTGGAGGACAAAGTGAGACTCTGTCTCAAAAGAAAAAGAAAAAGAAAGAAAGAAACAGATCATGGACTCTTAAACAGTGAAATTATGAAACAGTTAAGGCGTGTTTATAGTATTTGGGCTACGCTAGGATTTCCTTTGTATAGAAAACCTCTTTTCTACTGAAATCATGACTGTCAGGTGACAATACATCCTGTATTTTTCCAGGACGGCCCCAGTTTTTACCTGTTGTCTCTGAGCAATTAACAGAGTGCCACCTTCCCCTCTCAAAAGTGCCCCATTTGGATGATACATAACATGGTATCATCCTTCCTGCAGGTGAAACAGCCAAAATGATTGCTCCATTTATTTTATACTTGGTAAGAGGCAGGCCTGCTCTGGGGGCCTTCTCTATGTTATCCCAATGAATCCTCACGATATTTTGCTGATGGGTGATGTCCTAAGGTTGGGCTCTCTAAAAGCAGACCCTGAGGCAAGGAGTCAGGGACGAGGAATTTTTCTGGGAAATATTACCAGGAAGCATAGGTAGGGAAGTGAGGAATGGAGTCAGGGAAGGGAAGGATGCCAAAACATGGTACCTTCGTGAACAGTAACCAGAGCCGCAAGTAACCAAAGCTCAGTATTGCCGGGAACTGTCTGAGACTGTGTGAGCATGCCTGAGAATGTTCCCATGGAGGGGCTAGGAGGCCGCAGGTTTATCCTGCAGTTTTACTCCTCATTGGTTGAGGGCCACTCCTGGAGATGTTCCGTCCCTTCCCTGATGTCTGGCCTGTGTCATAGTGAGAAGCAGTTCACTCCTATGGCCAGAGAAAGCTCTCAGGTAAAAGACACAAACAGCCTTGTCAGTGTGCGTGAGAACTGTCTGAAGACAACTTCTGGGGTAGACCCAGG